CTCCCGTTAAGTGCCCCGCCCCCACCCCACAAGGTTTCTGCGGTTTGCACATTAGGAAGGACCTGGTCCCACAATCACAGGCCTGGGGTGTGGAACACGGTGGTTCAGCCTGCAAGGCAGACCCTCCCCCCACCTGCTGAGAGGCCAGTGCTGCGCTGACGGAAGACGGGCCCAGGATTGCAATTCTACACCACCAGATCTTGTCAGGGTGCTTAAAGGCAGGCCAGGAGGCTGACTACAAAGATGAGGATTCCAGGCCCTGGGGGGGCGGGGGGATGGACCGGGGGCAGGGGTAAGCCGATCGTCCAGGTTAGCCCTGGGCCCACAGCTGGCAGGGGGTTAGGCATGGCCAGCCACCCAGCTAGTTCAATGTCGCCTCCTCCGCGGCTCTTAGCCCCAGGCAGCGCTCCGTGTCTTTCGCGCCGCCACTGACCGAGCGCTACGGACGGGTGGGGTTCGCCGGCCCGTCACCCCAGGCGGACGCGCAGGAGCAGGCATGCATTACGAGAAGGCTGCTCGTGTTCACCTGGGGGTTTCAGGGCTTCCTAAATGTCCCCAACCAGGGAATCAACTCCACCGCCGGCCTCCCAATCTCAGCGCTGGGGGCTGGGGGGACCGAACCCACGCTGGGCAGGCGGCGGGCAGCCAGCCGGCACCGGGGGCGCAGCCGGCGCGAGCCCGAGACCACTCCCATCCACTTCCTCGACGCTATTTCCTGGGAGGAGTCTGGGCTCGCGGGCCAGGAGCCAGACGTCAAAACCTCCGCCCCACGGCGCTCGGCTGCGGGACTCCGGCCACCGAGCGCGCGCGCCTAACGTGGCGCCCCCGGGACCGCGGCCGCGCCGCGACGACCTCTAAGGGCGTTCGCGGCCAGTAGCTCGCGTCGGCTCGTTGGTCTAGGGGTATGATTCTCGCTTCGGGTGCGAGAGGTCCCGGGTTCAAATCCCGGACGAGCCCTCCTTTGGCTTTTGCTGGGTATGGAGAATCTGTGCGGTTCCCCCGACCACGCGGGACCCGGGCGAGCTGCAAAGCAAGGACACCCGGCGTGTCCCCTGGGAGGCGGCCTAGTCTTTTGTCCGAGCAGGAGTGGGGTGCCCGATCCGGCCTGCTGCTCTGCGGGGCGCCTTGCCGCGGCAGGCACGGTCTGGGTCCGAGGTGACGGCGCTGGCTGTCCAGGAGGGGGAGGGGGAGCCTGGGGCCGTCAGAGCTGGGTCTCGACAGCGTTGGAGGACGCCTGTCCCTTTCTGTCACCCGTTCTGAGGTCCGAGGGGCTGGAGGGGGGGGCTCCATAGGCAGCACTGAGGACCCAGATCAAGCGTTCGGAAGGAGGCTTCCTCAGCTCACTCCTCGTTAGTATAGTGGTGAGTATCCCCGCCTGTCACGCGGGAGACCGGGGTTCGATTCCCCGACGGGGAGGCGCGCAATAGTGTTTTTTTCCTCCATCGCCCCTGAAGACGACCCGCGCTGGGCCAAGGCTTAGAGAAATCATTTAGGGGAGTTGGGGACTCAGACCCGGCTCTCGAACTCACGTTTTATGTTTCCGGTGTGTGTTTGCCATTTAAACGTGTGGCTAAAGTAGCCGTGCTTGTCTCCATATACCCCGCATTTGTGACAGGAAAACACGATGGGCAAACAGCAAGCCCCGGACCCGCCTCCGTCGCCCCCCTTAGACCTGACCTTGCCTTAAAACGAGCATTCCCTACTCGGCCTCAGCCAGTCGCTTCGGCCCCGCACGACCCCGCGGCGGCCGACTCCGCGTTCCTGGTGTCCAAGCCCCTTCCTACTTCGCGGTCCGCGGCTGGACCCGCCTGAGTCCGTGCGGAGCCCCCGGTTCCAGGCGGAGGTCGCGAGCCGAGTCTAGGAGAAGAGGTGACCTCACAGACCACGTGGATGCCGCAGATTGGGTCCCCGTCCACCAGGGAGAGCGGAAAGGGGGGTAAAAGAAACAAAAATTACAAACTGCGTTGGCCGGGAATCGAACCCGGGTCAACTGCTTGGAAGGCAGCTATGCTCACCACTATACCACCAACGCTGACGCGCACAAGGTTTTCCCACAGCCTCTCAAAGCGATGCGGCTGGACGCGCCGCTCACCCTCGGATCCGCACGGAGGAACCCACGCTGCGCGTCTTCAGCTAACTCAGTAACAGACTGAGAGCGTGGGCCGCGGGGACACCGTCCCCACGTCTCCTCCCCAGAAAAACAGGCCCAAATGCGTGAAGCCGCCTCTGCAGCGCGCGAGCCCCAGGCGTCCCGAGGCCGCAGAACTGGGCTGGAACCAGCGGCGCCCTGGCACGGCCCGCACCCAGACGCCGAGTTTAAACCCCACGTGCGTTCGCGCGCGGCCGTGGAGGCGGGGCGTGAGGCTGGAGACTCCGCCCCTCGCTGCTGACGAGATGTCGGTTCACACGACCCGTCAGGCTACTGACTCACAGCGGCCTCGTGGCGCAACGGTAGCGCGTCTGACTCCAGATCAGAAGGTTGCGTGTTCAAATCACGTCGGGGTCACGGGAGACACTCATTTTCGGCTAAGAGCTGTCTTTTCCAAGACAATGGAAAGAAATTCCTGGAAGATTTGTTACATGGGAAAAATAGGAACCTCAGTGTGTCTGCAACATTTTCCTAAAGTGTCTGGATTTTCTCCTAAAATACAGCTGTGGGTACATTTATTTCACTTCACTGTTTCCATCAAATCAATCAATTAATATAGTAATAGATTTAACCTCGTGAGTACGTCAGGTATCCTAACACAGAAATTGTTCAGGAACAACCCACAATTCTGGTTCCCATTTGGAGCAACAAATGTTCTCTCTTAGAAAGAATGTAGTAATAATTAATCATTGTGAAAACAATAATACTCACAATCATTCTCCTAATCACTGTTTTCATTTTTGGCGATGTACCTACTTGTCAGTGGTGCCCGTAACTTGTCCTCGGTTAATGTCATTCAATGCAATAAAATATGGCTCTACAGTCCTTATCTTTTTAATGGCCACCTAACGTCTGATGGCAGTTCTGCGAATTCTTAAACAGCTCTTCCACAGCTCGGTAGTTTGGTTTTCTGATGATCTGCACTTTTTTTCTTAGTATTTAAAAGGTTGCCCTGAGCATCTTTGTGATTCATTTTTACTCTGCCCCTACCGAATTAGGTTTGTGGCATAAATTCCTGAAACTTCCAAGTTCCCAAGTAAAGGGTCCCCTTAGCTGAACTGCCAACTGCTGCTGTCCAAAGGGCCGTACGACTTTCCCAAAGGTGATCTATTCATTATTTTGTTCTTTTTAATCATTTTTTCTTCTTGTTTTCAGAATTCGGGTCCACGTTTTTTAAGTGTTTTCAATGATCTCTGATGCTCTATCTTTGTCAACTTAGCATGGAACACAAGGCATTAAATACTACTGTTAGCTGTCTCCAGATTTCTCAGAGGGCGCTAGCCTGGAGGCGTATGTATCTCCTTGCTTCTACTACGCTGAAAGTAAACAACAGAAAAACAAAGAAATGCAGCCCGGCCGCCCAGCGCCCAGCGAGCCTGGCCCTCCTTTTCTTGCCATCTCTTTCCTTGACTGATAGTGCCTTTGCTGGTGAGGCAGGCTTGGGTGGCTGGCAAGGAATGTGTCTACCTCCCCGCCGTCCACACGGCACCCGCTGTCCAGGCTGGAACCTGGGCCTTGCCCTCCGCTCCCCTCCGCTCCGTCGCCCCTGGCCCTCCTCCTGCCAGAGTGGTCCCAATGTCTAGGGCGTCCTATAGAGCGAGACGGAGGCGGACAGGAGAGGGTGTGAGGCTAGCCCCCGACACGCCCGCTGCCCTCGCTGCCCATCCAAACTCGAGCCCCTGACTTGCGTTAGTTATTCTATAAGAAGACGCAAAGAGGCAATCCGTCTTCTCGCCTACATGTCTCTCTCTCTCACACACACACACCCATAACAAAATAGGAAGAAGTGCACATGAGAATCACACTCATTATTTCCGCAGCTGGTCACAAGGTCGTAGCTGGTATCTATAACCACCTTCCCGCTATCCCTTCCATATTACCCTCTGATTTCAGCAAACACCTCCTTCGCTGGTCGCCCCGAGCCTTTGCCCCTGGAGGGTCTCAGCCACCGCCATTTTGCATTCGTGAGTGTCGGTTAACACCTAAACTCAGGCCTGAAGCCCCACAGCATCCTGGTGGGAGCCACGGCCCCATGCAGGAACCCGGCTTGCTGCTCCTCCTGGACTACCCTACCTACTGCCAAGCCTGCCCCGCACGGGGACAGCGGGCCTCTGGCTGCCGCCAGTGTAGACGCGAGGCACCGAACGCCTGCCTTGCTCACCAGGCTCACCACTTCCACCCGTCACTCAGCCCGTGGCAGGCAGGAGAGGACACTCGGCCCAGGCCACAGTCGCCGTTTCTTCCTGGCTAGCGCCTGCAACGACTCGATACACCTTTGTTCGGGTTTGAAGACCCGGTCCCCCAGCACGGGGATCCAAGGCCCGCGTTTAAATCCCGCTGGGAACCGGGGCAGCTCGCTTCACCCACGGTGCCGGCATCGGCGGCCCGGAAGGAAACGAACTTCGATCCTGGCTCACACAGTCTCCGTTTATATTAAAAATTCACACTTTTAAAAACGAAGAGAAAGCAAAAACTCCTCTCCCCGGGTCACCGGGGGAACTTTTCCCAAACCGGAACCGAGTCGGCAGCGGCTCGCCTTCCGCGGTTCCCATTGGGTCCCCTTGGCCTACGTCATAGGCGAGAGATCCAATGAGAATTGGGCGAGGGTGGCGCCGGCAGCCAATGGGGCCAGAGCGGGAGATTTGAAAGCGCCTCGGCGGAGGCGCTGCCCGGCAGGTTCGGTAGTTCCCGGCTGCCTCAGGTGAGCCGGTCTCCGTTCGCGGGCCTCGGCCCGGTGCGGCCAGGGGCTCAGGCGGATCGCGGGGCTCCTGAGCGCTCAGGGGTGGAGAGAGAGGGTCCTGGAAGGGGGCTGGGCGGGTCCCGGCGCCGGGGCTGCGGGACGAGCGTCCGGGGTGTGGCCAGCCCTCTCACCAGCCCGGACGGCGCTTCTGGCTGGATCCATCCGATCCCACCGCTGTTTTTTGTTTGTTTGTTTGTTTGTTTGTTTGTTTTTTAATTCCCCTTTCTGCTTCTCAGGACTCTTTCCCTTCTCCGCCCAGGCGCCCTCCCCGCTACCCCGTGAGGATGGCCCAGAAGGAGAACGCCTACCCCTGGCCCTACAGCCGACCCACGGTAAGGCCACCCCGCCCCGCGGGACGCGCTGGACCACCCCCTGGGCACCGCCTGCCCCCTTATGCCCTAAGCGTGTTTTGTTCCACTTGGCCATGCGTCGATCACTGTTGGGAAGCAGGTTTTCAGGGCCCCCGGAGCCGCCTCCTTCCGGCTGAACTTGTGCCGTCTATTGGTGAGGCTTTGGTTCTGGTCTGGTGGTGGAGGGTCCATGTCTCCCCTTTGTGCCGGCTGCCTCCCTCGCGGAGCACTGAGCGAGGCCATTAAGAGCGGGTCTGAATGAGCCGCCATTGTCACTGCCAAAAGGAAGAAGTCTGTCCTGAAGTGGCATTGGCTGCCTCCCTGGCCTCATCTAAGCTCTAATCGGCTGAGCTTGCCAGTGTGCTGACGCTGTGGGGTTGGTTGACCAGGCCCTCACCTGGCCCCTGGTGTGAGGGTTGGGGGAGCCGGTGCGGTGTCATGGACAGGACTACACAGACTAGACAGTCATGCCTGAGACGGTGGCACAGGCCAGGGCCAAGGAGGTGAAATGTTAGGTGTTGGGGAGGAGTCCCCTGTTTTTGGCCCACTTGGGTTATTATTATTATTTTTTAAGGATTTATTTATTTATTTGAAAGATACAGAGAGAGAGAGTTCTTCCATCCGCTGGTTCACTCCTCAAATGCTCGTGACAGGCAGAGCTGGGTCAGGCCAGAGCCAGGAGCTTCCTCTGGGTCTCCCACACGGGTGCAGGGGCCCAAGCACTTGGGCCATCCTCCACTGCTTTCCCAGATGTATGAGTAGGGAGCTGGATGGGAAGTGGAGGGCCCATATGGGATGCTGGCACTGCAGGTGGCTTTACCCGCTGCACCAGTGCCGCCCCCTGCCCCACCTCTAGGCAGAGTGGACAGTAAGAGAGAGACAGAGACAGAGACAGAGAGAAAGGTCTTCCTTTTGCCTTTGGTTCACCCTCCAATGGCCGCCGCGGCCGGCACGCTGTGGCTGGTGCACCGCGCTGATCCGATGGCAGGAGCCAGGTACTTCTCCTGATCTCCCATGGGGTGCAGGGCGCAAGCACTTGGGCCATCCTCCACTGCACTCCCTGGCCACAGCAGAGAGCTGGCCTGGAAGAGGGGCAACCGGGACAGGATCCGCGCCCCAACCAGGACTAGAACCCGGGGTGCGAGCGCCGCAGGCGGAGGATTAATAACCCATTTTAACATGAGACTCTGAACAGAGTCTTGGGGCTGGGGCCAAAACTGTGGTATCAGGGTTTTTCTCAGCACTGGGGGTGGACAGCACGTGGGAAGCTGTTTAGCCAGGAGCAGAAAAGCTGCTCGCGGCACATTCCAGCCGGGTCCGTGGGACAAAGGCGCCCTGAGCGCTCCGCCTTCTCCTCCTTAGCCTCAGTCTGGCCTGAACACTCTGCCTCAGAGAATCCTCCGGAAGGAGGCTGCCACCCCCTCTGCCCTTGTCCTCTTGAACCGCTCCAACGCCCCGCCCACAGGCAAGTGGCCCGGGAGGGAAAGCAGGGACTAGGGGGCTGGAGTCTACTGGAGGGGTAGGGAGGATGTCCCAGCAGGGTCTCACCTCTCCTGCTCTCTCCTTAGCTGTCCTTGGGCAGAAGGGGATGGAGAACAGCAGTGGGGCACCCAACTTCACGTGAGTGCTCCCAGCCTGGAGGTGGCCAGCGGGAAGGGACGGCCCGGGACCGGCAGAAGTGGGGGAGCCGCGGTGGAGGGGGGGGGGGCTGAGGGAGTGGGGAGAAAGCAGACTCCTGGGCTGCCCGGCAGGCCAGCGCTGAGCTGTGTCCCCCACTTGCTGAGCAGGCGGCCCTTCACCATCGACGACTTCGAGATCGGCCGTCCTCTGGGCAAAGGCAAATTTGGAAACGTGTACTTGGCCCGGGAGAAGAAGAGCCATTTCATCGTGGCACTCAAGGTCCTCTTCAAGTCTCAGATCGAGAAAGAGGGTGTGGAGCACCAGCTGCGCAGGGAGATCGAGATCCAGGCGCACCTGCAGTACGCCCCCGCCCCGGGAGTCCAGACTGTGGCCCCCTGAGAGCTGGGCCCTATCATCTTCCCTTTATGCCCGGATGTGGCCTGAGGCCTCCTGTCTCCTGCTGCAGGCATCCCAACATTCTGCGTCTCTACAACTATTTCTACGACCGGAGGAGGATCTACCTGATCCTGGAGTACGCCCCGCGCGGCGAGCTGTACAAGGAGCTGCAGAAAAGCCGCACTTTTGACGAGCAGCGAACAGCCACGGTCGGGGCGGGTGGGCACCTGGGACCCCGGCTGGGGGCTTGAGGCTGGGGGCACGCTGCCTGTGGCCGCGGGGCTGTCCTTGCCTGACTGCCTGTCCCCGCCCTCCCAGATCATGGAGGAGCTGGCAGATGCCCTGCGCTACTGCCACGAGAAGAAAGTGATTCACAGGGACATCAAGCCGGAGAACCTGCTCCTGGGGCTGCAGGGGGAGCTGAAGATCGCGGATTTCGGCTGGTCTGTGCACGCGCCCTCCCTGCGGTACGTGGCGCTGGGAAGCCGGCCCTGGCAGGCGGCACCTCTGGGCAATCCCGGTAGGAAAGTAGGAGACGCATAGTTCTGACCCCAGGTGCTTCCCACCCTTCTTTTTTTTACGGGCAGGGTGGACAGTGAGAGACAGAGAGAAAGGTCTTCCTTTGCCGTTGGTTCACCCTCCAATGGCCGCCGCGGCCGGCACGCTGCAGCCGGTGCACCGCGCTGATCCGAAGCCAGGAGCCCAGTACTTCTGGTCTCCCATGGGGTGCAGGGCCCAAGCACTTGGGCCATCCTCCACTGCACTCCCTGGCCACAGCAGAGAGCTGGCCTGGAAGAGGGGCAACGGGGACAGAATTCAGCACCCCGACCGGGACTAGAACCCGGATGTGCCAGCGCCACAGGCGGAGGATTAGCCTAGTGAGCCGCGGCGCCGGCCCACCCTTCATTTCTAACGCCAGTGAAGCACCCCGAGCTACTTAAGCAGAACCCGCTTGGCGGGCATGAGAGAGGCCTCCAGGGTTTCTTCCCCACGTCAGCACTGCCCTCCTACCTGATCTGTTTTAGTCCCCAGTGGAAGTACTGGGGGGCAATGTGGAGGCCACCGGCCCACCCCATCCCCAGGGGCGTGACCTGGATGGAGCACTCCCCTGCTGCCTCCCAGGGTCTCTTGGCTGCCTGGGGGGGAGAGGGTGGATGAGCATGGTTGCCTGGTCCCAGGACCCCTGGCATGCCCTTCATCCCACAGGAGGAAGACGATGTGTGGCACCCTAGACTACCTGCCCCCCGAGATGATTGAGGGGCGCACGCACAATGAGAAGGTGGACTTGTGGTGCATCGGGGTGCTCTGCTACGAGCTGCTGGTGGGGAACCCGCCCTTTGAGAGCGCATCACACAACGAGACATACCGGCGCATCGTCAAGGTGGGTCACGCTGCCGGCGCTCCAGGCTGCAGAGGCCAGGGGCTGGGGAGGGCAGGGTTGGACGCGCGGGTCTTTGTGGCCACTGGGGTGGAACACAGGCGGTTTCTGCTCCTTTCTCCCCTCCTGCAGGTGGACCTGAAGTTCCCCGCCTCTGTGCCCGCGGGGGCCCAGGACCTTATCTCCAAGCTGCTCAGGCACAACCCCTCCGATCGGCTGACCTTGGCCCAGGTCTCAGCCCACCCTTGGGTCCGGGCCCACTCTCGCCGGGTGCTGCCTCCCTCGGCCATGCAGTCTGTCGCCTGATGGCCCCTGTCATTCACTCAGTGTTTTGTGTGTGTGTGTGTGTGTGTGTGTGTGTGTAGGGGGAAGGAGGGAGTCTGGCCTGTTCCCTTATCTGTCTTCTACCTCCTTTTTAATAAAAGCCGAGGCTTTTGTACATTGAGTGTAGATGTCTCTGGGTGGAGGCGACGGTTCCCTGTGGGTAGGAGAGGTTGCCTGCCCCAGCTGGTGCAAGGGATACTGGGTCACTTCCCCCGGTAAGAGCTCGCCCTCCCAGATCCCAGCCACCGCCACCCCCCCGGCCATTTCTTTCCCCTGCTCAGACTCAGAGCCCCAGAGCCTGGGGGTGTTGGGAGACCTCAGATGCCCTCACTGTGCTCAAACACCACCCACCTCTCCCGCCAGTCGATTGTCTGACCTCTGGTTTTTCTCTCTCCTGGTTATTCTGTTCCCCTTTGCCCACCGACCTAGGAGTGACTGAACGTGGCTATGCCCTAGAAGTTGTTCGTTTTACTGCTCTGGCCAAGATGGAAGGGGAGGGGACGGACGAGCAGTGATGGGGTCTTGTTACTGACGTTAGGTCTCACTGTTACGTATGATGCTTGCTGGCCTTGATGGATATTTTTTTTAAGATTTTTTAAAAATTTTTTTGAAAGAGTACAGAGAGAGAGAGAAGATCTTCCATCTGCTGGCTCACTCCCCAGATGGCCACAGCGACCAGGGCTGGGCCAGGCTGCAGCCAGCAGCGTCTGTCTCCCATGTGGGTGGTAGGGGCCCAAATATTTGGGCTGTCTTCCATTGCCTTTCCCAAGCATCTGGATCAGACAGAAGTGGAACATCCAGGACACAAGCCAGTGTCCATATGGGCTGCCAGCATCACAGGGGGAGGTTTTACCTGCTACGCACACCAGCCTCTGGCCGATCTCCTTTATCAGGTTAAGGGAGGCCTATTCTTGTCCTAGGTTGTTTTTTTTTCCCCGCCTATTTTATATCACGCATGGGCATTGATTTTTATCAGATGCATTTTTATTCAGTGGGTGAGTACATTAATGCATGTCCTTATACGAGGTGTATCTCAGTCATGCATGTGGTGGCTCCAAACTTGTTTATTCTCTCACAGTTCTGAAGCCATAAACTTTTATTTATATATTCAAGAAGCAGACATACAGAATTCTCATCATCTGCTGATTCACTCCCCAAAAGCCCACAGCAGCAAGGTCTAGGCCAGCTTAGCTCCTTGGGAGCACAATCCAGGTCTCCTTTGTGGGTGGCAAAGGCCCAGTCATTAGAGCCATCACTGCTGTCCCCCAAGGTCCACATTAACAGGAAGCTGGAGTCAGGAGCAGGAGTCAAGCCCAGGCAACGTGGGACACAGGCATCTTCACCCATAAGCCAAACGCCTGCACATCAAGGTTTATTTAAAAACAAAATACTAGGGGCCGGCACTGTGGCTTAGCAGGTAAAGCTGCCACCTGCAGTGCCGGCATCCTATATGGGCACCAGTTTGAGTCCCAGCTGCTCCACTTTTGATCCAGCTCTCTGCTGTGGCCTGGAAAGCAGGAGAAGATGGCCCAAGTCCTTAGGCCCCTGCACCTACATGGGAGACCTGGAAGAAGCTCCTGTCTCCTGGCTTCAGATCAACACAGCTCCAGCCATTGTGGCCATTTGAGGAGTGAACCAATGGGTGGAAGACCTCTCTCTCTCTCTCTCTCTCTCTCTCTCTCTCTCTCCCTTCCTCCCTCCCTCTCTCTGCCTTTCTGTAAATCTGCCTTTCAAATAAATAAATAAATCTTTAAAAGAAAAAAAAAAACTCCCCACAAAATTCTAAATTTTAAAATGCTATTTATACTTTGTCTTATTCTACAATGTACTTAAAGCGGTTTACAAAATATATAAATTACATAAATGAGAAGTGGCTGGGGTGGGCATGACACAGCAGTTAGATCACCACTTGTGATGTCTGCCCCACGTCAGGGTGCCTGGGTCCAGGTACTCCCCCTCTGACCCAGCTTCCATCTAAAGCCCGCCCTGGGAGGAAGCCGACCATGGTCAAGTACTTGGGTCCCTGTGTCTCATGTGGGAGACCTGGCTGGAGCTCCACACCCCTGGCTTCAGCTGACCCAACCCTGGCTGTTACAGACATTTGGGGAGTGAACTAGCAGATTGAAGATCTTTCTGTCCCTCTACCTCTCAAATAAGATGAAAGTAAATAAATACATTTTTTATTGGGAATACTTTTCACCAGTGAATATTAGGTATGGTAAATAGATACCTTAAAAGATGCCCGGTGTTGCCAGTCAGCAGGGAGTGCAGATCAGAACCAGATCAGGAGATGTGACAACACACCTACTGAAACGACTAAGTAAATAAGCATAACCATACCTGACAATGCCAGGTGAACGCGCGGCGGGTACGGCCACCTTACAGCCACCTGGGGAATCGGTTTTACAGTTTTCTTCCAAAACTGCACACAAGGCATCTTGTCAGGAGACACAAAGTGTCTGTTAGTTAGCTTGGGGTGTTACCAAATAATCAGCCTCCAGCAGGAACGCTCCGAGGAGGCTTGTTCTCTGTGTGACAGTAAGGGAGACAGTGGGAAGGCCGAGTTCCCTAAAGAAACTGCCTCCCTGGGAAGCCCTGGGCCGGGGCTCCCACAGCGGGGGCTGGGGCTGGGGCAGGCCCAGGATACAGCAAGAGGTCCTTCCTGCACAACTTCCTTGGAAAATGAGAATTCCTCTGCCATTCAAAGGAACACACTGAGAGGCACCAGGGGACCTCAAAAGTGGTCATGGAAAAAAAATGAAAAGTTTATTTTGGTGCAAATTCACCCTGAAGTGCCCAGGTACACCGCCAATGTATTGTCCTTCTGCATTTGGTCTTTTAACATCAAGCGGTTTCTCCGTGTTGAAGTTTTCCAGTTCTTTGTTGTCTGTTTTATTATCTTGTGGCTTTGTGCTGTCCGCATTTGCTCTTATTTTAAAACACCTTCATTATGGAGAGTTTATGAAAACACATTCTACCTCTGTCTTCTCTCAGGGCTCTTCATGCGGAATGCGCTGAAATGTAATTTACATGAATGTAAGGAATGAATAATTGTTTTCTGTTTGGGATCTGGTCTTGTTCGCGGAGGCTGCTCTCTGACACATGCAACATTCATATAATTGGACTCAAAAATGCCATCACTGTCTGCAAGCACTAAACTCTCGTGCAGGAAGTACAAAATCCACCACAAACATGCCTGCATCCCCGGGGCCGCGGGCATCGCAGCAACAGTCACCCCTGTCCCCGCAGAGAATATAGGTGCACACAGGCCTTTTTGATCAAATGATGTTTTTACGACACATGGAAAAGAACATTGCAAAGCTCCACTGCCGACAGAGGTAACATAACCAAGAGTGCAGGGTATAGGCAACCGCGGGAGGAGGCCTGGGAACTTGAACTCCCTGGAGCTTCTTTTTCCAGGACACTTTGATTGTAAAGTTGCACTCAGAGGTGGGGGGGCCAGACCACCACAGACAGGGAGCCCCTCTCCAGCTGCAAGAAATGGGTTGGAATGAACTTTTTGTAATAGGCAATTCTCCACTTAGGGGAGGGCGGAGGGCGGTGCCACCATTTCCTGAACATACAGTCCATGATGCGTGTTGCTTACATGTATGAGCAGGAGGTCTCTTCCCTCTGTTGCTGTTATCTCACACATGCCCCTGACCCCGGCTGTAAAAGCACTGGCAAACTGTCAAGCCAGAGAGGCAGGGTTTTTTTTAGGGAGCTGTAGGGTCCTTCTGTCTCCTTTTCTCCTCACAAGTAAATGAAAGCTCTCTTCTAAGCAGCTCACACTTGAGGATTGTTCGGTGGCACCAAGCAGAGGGAGCCCCTATCCCTTAACAATAAACAAACAGGAGTACAGTTTGTCTACTCCCCAAGCTAGGTTATTGCTCTTTCAATTCGGAGGCTACTTTGGGTCAAGTTCAGAGGCTGGATTAAGCCAAAGTTCTGTTGGTTCAGCATTAGGAAACTTCTTATTTCCTTTGTATTTTTTCCCCAACATTTTGAAACATAAAGACAAGGCTGGCATTGTGGCCCAGTGAGCTAAGCTGCTGCCTGCAGCACCGGCATCCCAGCATCCCATAGTGGAGCCAGTTCAAGTCTCCAGCTGCTCCACTTCTGTTCCAGCTCCCTGCTAATGCACCTGTGAAGGCAGCAGAAGATGGCCCAAGTGCTTGGGCCCCTGCTATCCCCGAGCGAGACCCAGATGGAGCTCTAGGCTCCTGGTTTCAGCCTGGACCAAACCTGGCCATTGCAGCCATTTAGGGAGTGAACCAGGATATATATATATATATATATATATATATATATGTTTCTAAAAGCATAAATGGGCATTGTGGGACAACAGGTTAAGCTGCCGCTTGGGACCCAGGCATCACATATGGGTAAGCTTGGGATGGAGTCCTGCCTCCACTCTCCACTTCTGATCCATCTTCCTACTAAGGTACATCCTGGGAGGTAGCAGGTCCTCGCTCCCTGCCACACACACACAAGACTTGACTGGAGTTTCTGGCTCCTGGCTTTGGCCTGGCCCAGCCTTGGCTGTTGCAGATATGTGGGAAGTGAACCACCAGATGGAGGTTCACTCTCTGTCTTATCTCTCTTTCCAATTGAAAGAAAAAGATGTAAACAGCATTCTTAGCTCTCAGGCCTTATAGGAAACCAGGCAGGGAGCTGTATCTGGCCCGTGGGTCACGCTTTCTTGGCTGTGCTGCGGTAGCCACAGCGGCCGCCCCCATCGCCTCTCCTGGCTCTCCCCTGTGGAGTTGCAGCCACCGGAGGATGGAGGGAACCCATCCATCTCTAGCTCCAAGAGGAGCATCCCTGTTTCAGCCTGATCACTTAATTGTTTTAACATTTATTATTTTGGGTTTTAATGAACATAATAATTGTATATATTTATGGGACATGGTGTGTACAATTTGGTACATGCATATAATGCAGGGTTATTAAATGAAAATAATGAGCATTTGCGGCTTAAACGTGTCATTTTTTGGTGTTGGGAAACTTGAAACTCTTCTAGATCTTTATAGGATATACAGTGAACTGTGGCGAACTAGTCACTCTGCTGTACATAGAACAGAGCCAGGACAAATTCTGCTGCGGACCATGGCG